TAGAACTAAAGTAACATCTTACTCCCGATTTCTCTCAACAAGAGGACAGGAGAGCTTTCAATCAATAAATGGGGAAACAAAGTAACTAGCGTTACTTATTTGAAAAAGTAACTCCGATATTTTCTTGTAAATTAAAAAGTAATGTGTTACTTTACTAGTTACTTGAAAAAAGTAATCTGATTATGTAACTTGTAATGCGTTCCCCCCAACACTGTTCATTTCAGCAAGCATCTACAAAGGAGCCTCTGAATGTGAGCGCAGTCTCAGTTTCGAGCATGTGGTTTCTCAGTTTTGTCTCTCTCTCACAGATATAAACGAGTGTTTCGACCCGGTGAACTGCATCAACGGCGTGTGTGTGAATCTGCCCGGCAGCTACCTGTGCAACTGCCCGCCGGACTTCGAGCTCAACCCGTCGGGCGTGGGCTGTGTCGGTACTGAAACCGTCCCGCCGCATGATTTCACCCGAATCACGGCGCAGTTAATCTAATGTCTGTTCTGTGGCAGACACTCGTGTGGGGAACTGCTTCCTGGACACTCTGGACCGCGGTGACGGAGGCATCTCCTGCAGCGCTGAGATCGGGGTGGGAGTGACCCGCGCCTCCTGCTGCTGCTCGCTGGGGGGAGCCTGGGGAAACCCCTGCGAACTCTGCCCGCCCATCAACTCCAGTACAGACACACCAGAGCATCACACAGCTGTTCAGACGATGTGCTAGTAGTCAAACCATACTCTACCGCTCAAACGCTTGGGATCAGAACCGTTTGTAATGTTTTACAGGAGTCTCTTCTGCTCATCAAGGCTGCATTTATTTGATCAAAAATACAGGAAAAATGTGAAATATTATTACCATGTAAAATAACGTTTTTCTATTTTAATATACATTAAAATCTAATTTATTCCTGTGATTCAGCGCTGAATTACTCCAGTCTTCAGTGTCACATGATCTTCAGAAATCATTCTAATATGCTGATTTATTATGCTTCATATTTTTTTTTGGAACCTGTGATACTTTTTTCAGCATTCTTTGATGAACAGAACGTTAAAAAGAACAGCATTTATTTAAAATAGAAATCTTCTCTAACAATAAAGTTTGAGATCAGTAAATTTTTATTCTCTTTTTTTGAAAGAAATGAAACTTTTATTCAGCGAGGATGTGTTAAATTGATAAGAAGTGACAGAATTGTTAGAAAAGATTTATATTTTGAATAAATGCTGTTCTTTTTAACGTTCTATTCATCAAAGAATGCTGAAAAAAGTATCACAGGTTCCAAAAAAACATATTTGGCAGCACAACTGTTGATAATTCTAATAATAAATCAGCATATTAGAATGATTTCTGAAGATCATGTGACACTTTATACTGGAGAAATGATGATGGAAATTCAGCTTTGCACCACAGAAATAAATTATATTTTAAAGGATATTAAAATAGAAACCATTATTTTATATTGTAATAACATTTCGCAAGATTACTGTTTGTTTTCTGTATTTTTGATCAAATAAATGCAGCCTTGATGAGCAGAAGAGACTTCTTTAAAAAACATTACAAGTCTTACTGATCCCAAAACTTTTGACCGGTAGTGTACATATTGAGGATTCTGATATTGAGCCTTATTCGGTCTCTATGACATAAAATTAATAACACACTGAATATTCCTCTCTCTTCTCTCTCTTTTTTGGTCACTTATCAAATGCAAACAATTTAGTGCCATCATGTACTCTGATTTCTGAAGGATAATGTGACACTTTATACTGGAGTAATGATGATGGAAATTCAGCTTTGCATCACAGAAATAAATTATATTTTAAAGGATATTAAAATAGAAAGCATTATTTTATATTGTAATAACATTTTGCAAGATTACTGTTTTTTTCTGTATTTTTGATCAAATAAATGCAGCCTTGATGAGCAGAAGAGACTTCTTTAAAAATATTACAAGTCTTACTGATCCAAACTTTTGAACTGTAGTGTATGTTTTTTTTTTTTCAATGGCCAATAATGAATTCAGAAAGCAGGATAAATAATATCAAATATAATGATTATATATAGACATGTATGTAAAGAATATGCTACAATATTATTCAATTGCTGAAATAAAATTAGTTTACGCAGTATTAGCTTCAATTTCACTTAAAAATATTTAAAAATAAGCAGCAGCTGATTCGGATAATTTGTGAAATATTAATTGCATTTTTAATATGTCTATCTCTACTGAGCTATATGTTTAAAACAGCTTATAAAAATGAATTCATAGAATGAAACGATGTTAATAAACATTAAAATCAAACCATGTAAAATTATTTAAAAGCAAATTGCTAATTTTAATGATTTTCTGTTACAATGACACAATTTATATATACATAATAAATATACACAGAACACACACATATATATTATGCAAACAAAAACTTTTATTTTGGATGCGATTAATCGCGATTGTTTGTTTGACAGCACTAATAAAATTAAATTATTAAGATTGCATAAAATTATGATTCATTTTTTATTCCCAGTTACTTTAGTCTTACTTTAGTTTCTTGTGGAGTGTAAGAAAAATAGACCGATATATCGGTAAATATTTAGTTATTTAGCATCAGCCGATATCTACAGTAAAACCACCTGAAACTGGAATTCCCTCTATTTTTTGTCTCATTTACTGTCATTAAATAATGATTTGTATAAATGTGACCCTGGAGCACAAAAGCAGTCTTAAGTCGCTGGGGTATATTTGTAGCCAAAAATACATTGTATGGGTCAAAATTATAGATTTTTCTTTTATGCCAAAAATCATTAGGATATTAAGTAAAGATCATGTCCCATGAAGATATTTTGTAAATTTCCTACCGTAAATATATCAAAACTTAATTTTTGATTAGTAATATGCATTGCTAAGAACTTCATTTGGACAACTTTAAAGACGATTTTCTCAATATTTAGATTTTTTTGCACCCTCAGATTCCAGATTTTCAAATAGTTGTATCTCGGCCAAATATTGTCCTATCCTAACAAACCATACATCAATGGAAAGATTATTTATTCAGCTTTCAGATGATGTATAAATCTCAATTTTAAAAAATTGACCCTTCTGACTGATTTTGTGGTCCAGGGTCACATATATCTCATCATTATAATGGCAGTCGGTCACTCTGATATCGGTACGAGCGAACAGTCAGACTGCTTGTATTCATGATGAACTGTGTGTCTCCTCACAGCTGAGTACAAAACCCTGTGTCCCGGAGGAGAGGGCTTCCGGCCCAATCCCATCACCGTCATCCTGGAGGGTAAGAGCGGATGCTGTGATGCAGGACAGCGCCTGCGGTCTGGTGTGTGTGTGTGTGTAATGACGGCCCTCTCTGTCTCTGTGTCCCGCTCGCAGACATCGACGAGTGCCAGGAGCTGCCGGGTCTGTGTCAGGGGGGAAACTGCGTCAACACCTTCGGCAGCTTCCAGTGCGAGTGTCCCGCCGGATACTACCTCAACCAGGAGACGCGCATCTGCGAAGGTCATTTGAGTTCACCTGAGGCGCTCATATTTTATGATCAGTTCATTTTTAATGTTTAGTAACCTTTCATTATATTTGTGACCCTGGAAAGAAAAATCTATAATTTTGACCCATACAATGTATTTTTGGCTATTGCTACAAATATCCCCCAGCGACTTAAGACTGCTTTTGTGCTGCAGGGCCACATATATGCATTAATTTATTTGTTTGTGTAATTTACTTTTACATTTATATAACAATAAATAATGTCTAATTAAACAATGGAATATTCATATTTCAATGACATATTAATTTTAAATGTATATTAATATTTGTAATATTTTAATTACATTCATTGAATTTTAATGTTTAGTAACCTTGATTTATTTTAGGAATGTATTTTAATGAATTGTTTTATTTTTGACATTTAAATCGATTTTTTTTTAAACTTTTAATTAATTTCAATTTAAATGTATATAAAATTATATTAATATTTTAATAACTAAGTGATTGATTAAATTTACATTTATTTTTATTAATTATTTTATTCATTTATAATTGTGTGTAATTTTAATTAAATACATATTAATTAAGTGATATATAATAAATGAAATTATATTTCAGTTTAAATTCATATTTTAATGTGTAATATACTTTTTACTGAATAACAACAATTACATTTTAGTTAATTCATTTCAATTAAATGTTTATATTACAGTTATATTCATATTTTAATTTATATTAATATTTCAAGAATTAAATTTACTTAAGAAATGTACATTTAAGAACTAAAACTTATTTTAATAACATTTTACATTTACTGAATTTTATTATTTAGTAACCTTAGTTTATTTTATGACTGTATTTTTATGATTGTTTATATTATACTTATTTATATCATTTATTTTAATATTTCAATAATTTAATGACTTTTAATTAACAGTTTTGCATTTATTGATTTCAGTGTTTAGCAACCTTGATTTATTTTATGAACGTATTTTTTAAAATTACTTTGTGTGTCATTTTAATTAAACAAAATCTTAAATTTTATTTTTTATTTTATTTTAAGTAATTAAAAAAATATATTAAATGTATATTATTTTAATAATTTAATTTACTTTAAATTACAATTTTAGATTTAGTACATTTTAATGTTTAGTAACTTTTTTTAATTAACTTTTATTTGAATATTTATGCATGTAATTTAATGAATTTGTTTAATTTACTTTTAATGAAATAATTAAAAGTATATAACTGATTTTTTTTATTATGTTGCATGATTTCATTTGAATTATTGTAATGAAGACATGCATATAAGAGTTTCTGAGTGTCTGAATGCTGATGTTCTCTCAGATATTGATGAATGCACGGCGCACATCGGCATCTGCGGTCCAGGAACCTGCTACAACACGCTGGGGAACTACACCTGCGTCTGTCCTCCCGAGTACATGCAGGTGAACGGAGGAAACAACTGCATGGGTAAGAGCCGCTCGTCCCGCGCGTCGCCACTCAGTCACAGCTTCTGCAGCTCATCTGGGTGTTTTCTGCTTTGGTTTGGCAGATATGAGAAAGAGCGTGTGCTATCGCAACTTCAACGACACCTGCGAGAACGAGCTGTCCTTCAACATGACCAAGAAGATGTGCTGCTGCTCGTATAACGTGGGCAAAGCCTGGAACAGACCCTGCGAGGCCTGTCCCACGCCGGCCACATGTGAGTGTGTCTCGCAGCGCCGCTGGTTCTGTAGTGCATGAGAGCTGACGCCGCTGCTGGAGAGGACCATTTCAGCTGCTTTTCTGACTGCACTGTCTTTAGTTTTACGTCAGATGTGATGCCGACAGCACAGAGCTTTGAATGCATAATGCATAAAATTACAAATATAAATACATATATCTCGCATTCAAATTGAGGCAACTTTTGCATAAAATTAAATAAAATAGTATAAGATGAAATACATTGCATAAAAATAAAATTTAGAAATATAAATAATTTAAGCAGTCATTGGCTAAGTATTGGTTTCTGAGTGTGTGGCATTCGATTTTGCATAATTCAACATTCAACTTAGCATAAAATACAATTAAATAGTATAAAATAAGTTGCAATGCATTAAAAAATATTGTATATATATATATATATATATATATATATCTTTATTTAATTTTTAATTTAAATTTTTGCAGTCATTACTTAAATCTTGGTTTCTAATGGGTGTGCCAATCAGATTCAGGCAACTTTTGCATAAAATTAAATTACATTACATTAAATTATATTAAATTAAAATAAACAGTCATTAGACTTGTTTTCTGAAGGTGGGGAATTGAAATTCAGGCTCCATTTGCACTGAATAAAATAAAAATTTATATAAATAGAAATAAATAAATTAAATGTAATAAAGTAAAATAAAAAATAAAATAAAAATATATAGAAAATAAATATAAACATAAATAATTTGGGTCTTAGTTTCTGAGGGTGTGGCATTCAAAGTCAGCATAAAATAAAATGAAATAAAGTAAAATAAAATAAAATATAAAATGCATTGCATTGCACAAAAAACTCTCTCTATAAAAAATACATATATAAATATGAATATTTGAGGCGGTCTTGTTTCTGAGGCTGTGGCCTCCACACTGATTGGTGTTTCTGTGTCTCCTGCAGCCGAGTACCAGCTGTTGTGTGGAAATCAGGCTCCCGGGTTCATCATCGACATTCACACCGGAAAACCCATCGGTGAGTCGCCTTGAGCATCTCACTTCATCAACACAAAGCTCTGCGCGAGCGCTTTCATACGAGCGGCACGTTTGCTCTCCTCAGATATCGACGAGTGCCGCGAGATCCCAGGAATCTGCGCGAACGGCGTCTGCATCAACCAGATCGGCAGTTTCCGCTGCGAGTGTCCCATGGGCTTCAGCTACAACAACATCCTGCTCATCTGCGAAGGTACCGGCGCTCAGCTGCCTTCACACTGAAGACCGCTGGCGTGTTTCTTGACTTACACCGTCTGTTCGCCACAGATATGGACGAGTGCAACAGCGGCGACAGCCTGTGCCAACGCAACGCTAACTGCATCAACATCCCCGGCAGCTACCGCTGCGAGTGTTCGGCCGGCTTCAAGCTGTCGCCCAGCGGAGCCTGCGTCGGTGAGTCCACACAGTCCACCAGTGTTTACCAAATTTACTCAATAAGAAAAGAATAAAAAATGTAATTCAATTCAAATCATTCGATGTGTTAGTTGTTGAAGTTGTGGCATTCAAACTCAGGCTGCATTTGCATTAAATGCAAATAAAATCATTTAAGTAGGCATTAATTGCACACAAAATGAGTGCAATTTTCTGCTCAAAACCACTTGCACAACTTTAGCAGGCGCAATATGTGCTGGTATAATGTTATCGGTATTGAAAGCGCAATGAAAGGTGCAACTGTCATTATTTTCAAGGCAAACACAAAAAAAGAAGGTTCAAAATGAAATGCACCACATTTACAAACATCTGCGCCATTTATATAATTAACATGGTTTTGGTTGTATTATTTTAAAGGGATGCTTGTGATATAATTTTATTTTATTTTTATTTTTTTATAATTTTATTTTATTTTATGCAAATAGACCCTGAATTTGAATGTCACAAATTCAAAAACCAACCCATCAAATGACTGCTTAAATAATTTTTTTATTTTTATATTTATTTATTTTTTATTTAATGACTGCTTAAATCATTTGATTTTATTATTTTAGTTTAGTTTAGTTTTTTTTTTCCAATTTAAAAAGACTTCATTTGAAAGCCACACCTTAAAAGAGCAACCCAACTAATGACTGCTAAAATTACTTATATTTATTACTTTATTTTATTTTATGCAAATGGAGTTTGAATGACACACTTTCAAAAACTAACCCACCTAATCACTGCTTACTTTTTTAAATTTTATTTTTAAATTTTATTTTATGACTACATTATTTCATTTTATTTGATGCTAATTTTATTTAAATAGAGCCTGAATTTAAATTCCACACCTTCGAAAACCAACGCAACTAATGACTGCTTAAATGATTTATATTTATAATTTTTTAAACATCAACGTCTGGCTGATTTTCACGAGCCCTGTAGTGGAACACACTTTTTTTAGTGCATTCGTTCCTGCGAAACATTTTCCTCCACATCTTCATCAGACTTATTATAAACCACAGACTAAAGAGCTGTGAGTCTGATGGGATCTTGTGATTGTTGTGGCGTGTTTTGTCAGACCGTAACGAGTGTCAGGAGATCCCGAACGTCTGCAGTCACGGCGAGTGCATCGACACTCAGGGCAGCTTCCGCTGTCTGTGCCACAACGGCTTCAAGACCACGCCGGACCAGACCATGTGCATGGGTGAGTGTCTGTGGCGGTTTCTGTCGTGTGAAGCGAGTCTGGCGTGTGATCGGCTGTCTCTCGTTGTCTCTGGCAGATATCGACGAGTGCGACAGACAGCCGTGTGGAAACGGTACATGTAAAAACACTGTGGGCTCCTACAACTGCCTGTGCTTCCCCGGCTTCGAGCTCACGCACAACAACGACTGCATGGGTAAGATTACAACTACTACAGCTTCTGTGCGCTTATAGATTGACCAGAAGAAGCCTGTTGGAGTTATACAGACATAATATGTTTCCATAATCTGATTATGTGTTAAATTATTCCTTTTTCCTTTAATCAGAATGAAACTTTACAGTTTTAAAGTTGATTTTAAACTTTTTCTAATGTGGTTTTAACCATTTAACTCTTTAAATAAATAATTAACCATTTAATATCGCAAAGAAATCTGATTACGTGTTAAATTATTCCTTTTTCCTTTAATCAGAATGAAACTTTACAGTTTTAAAATAGATTTTAAACTTTTTCTAATGTGAGTTTAACCATTTAACTCTTTAAATAAATAATTAACCATTTAATATCGCAAAGAAATCTGATTACGTGTTAAATTATTCCTTTTTCCTTTAATCAGAATGAAACTTTACAGTTTTAAAATTGATTTTAAACTTTTTCTAATGTGAGTTTAACCATTTAACTCTTTAAATCAATAATTAACCATTTAATATCACAAAGAAATGTGCATATTATCAGCATTAATTATGTATTGTTGTATGAGTTTGAAATAGTTTAAAATAAATTGTCTAATTATACATTTTCATTTTGATTACACATTTCTTTACGATATTAAATTGTTAATTATATATTTATGAGTTTAAATGGTTAAAATCACATTATGAACAGTTTTATTTTGATTAAAGGAAAGGAAACATTTTAGTCATTAATGCTGATAATATGTATATTTATTTATAATATTACATGGTTATGTATTTAAAGAGTTTAAATGGTTAAAATCACATTATAAAAAGTTTAAAATTAATTGTAAAATTGTAAACTTTTATTTTAATTACACATTTATTTCCAATATTAAATAGTTGATTATGCATTTAAAGAGTTTAAATGTTTAAAATCACATTAGAAAAAGTTTTAAATAATTTTTTACATTTTAAAGTTTCAATTAGATTAAAGGAAATGAAACATTTTGAATTTATTTTAAACTTTTTAGTGATTTTAACCATTTCAAAGAGAAAGGAAAAAATGAAATCGCATCATATGACCCCTTTAACAAATTAACATTTTCCTTTTTCCTTTAATCAGAATGAAACTTTACAGTTTTAAAATTGATTTGAAACTTTTTCTAGTGTGATTTTAGCCATTTAACTCTTTAAATAAATAATTAACCATTTAATATCGCAAAGAAATTTGCATATTTTCAGCATTAATTATGTATTTAAAGAGTTTAAAATCACATTAGAAAAAGTTAAAAATAAATTGTCAAATTGTAAAGTTTCATTTTGATTAAAGGAAAGGAAACATTTTAGTCATTAATGCTGATAATATGTATATTTATTTACAATATTACATGGTTAATTATGTATTTAAAGAGTTTAAATGGGTAAAATCACATTATAAAAAGTTGAAAATAAATTGTAAAATTGTAAAGTTTAATTTTGATTACACATTTATTTCCGATATTAAATTGTTGATTATGCATTTAAAGAGTTTAAATGTTTAAAATCACATTAGAAAAAGTTTTAAATTAATTTTTACATTTTAAAATTTCAATTAGATTAAAGGAAAGGAAAATGTTAAAATTTATTTTGAACTTTTTAGTGATTTTAACCATTTAAGCTCTTTTAATGAACAAATTAATATTGTAAATAAGCAAACTCTGACATTTTAAAAAGCACATAAAACACATTTCTTTTGCATTGTGACATTTACTATTTAAACTCTTTAAAAACATAATTAACAATTTAATATCATTAAAAATTGCATATTATCAGCAAAGGCAAAAATGTTTCCTTTCATTTAATCAGAATGAAACTTTACAATTTTAAAATGTGTTTACAATTTTTTGTATTGTGACTTTAACCATTTAAACTTTTGAAATACATAATTAACAATTTAATGGTGTAAATAAATGTGCATATGATCAACAGTAAAGACTAAAATGTTTAATTGTCTTCGATCAGAATGAAACTTTACAATTTAAAATGTATTTTAGACTTTTTATATTGTGATTAAAATCATAATTAACCATTTAATATCTAACATTTAAATATCTTGAATATATGAATAGATTTGCATGTCAGCAATAATATAAATCCCACAGAAGATGCTTTTATTTTTGTTTTAATGTGTTTGTCAAAGTGTTAATTTTATACAATTTAATAATTAAAGGCTGTTTTACAGTTTAATATTTAATTACAGAAATGCATTTAGCATTTTTTTAAGATAAAACGTCTCTTAAAATGCTTCAAAGGAAATCTGTTTTTGCATTTAGGGTCTTAATCTTTTTTAAATAAAATGTTATGCTAAATAAGAGCAAAAATTGTGCAAATGTACATGCAAAGATAATGCAGTCATAAATGTCCGTAAATACTGTTGGCTATTGTTTTGGATGTTTTATGAAAATCTTGTAATTGAAGTTGCAAAATACTGCAGGAGTTCACAATACAGATCAGCGTTTGTTATTGATTCTGTGGGTTGGGTGTCAAAGTTGTTGTGATCACGGTGAAAGCAGAGGTGGTTTATGGTGAGGAATGACTGTGAAGGGTTAATGGTGTGATGTGTTGGTGTTCAGATATCGACGAGTGCAGCGTTCACGCCAGTCAGGTGTGCAGGAACGGCCAGTGCATCAACAGCATGGGCTCCTTCAGGTGTCTGTGTCTGGATGGCTATAACCTGACGCCGGACGGCAAGAACTGCGTCGGTGAGACTCGCTGCTCGTTAACCAGCTCATCAACCCTGCCGTCTGTTACTGTACACTCCTGTAGCGCGTTAACGCTTTACAGTCCTCACCGGAGATCAACACGGCCTTCCAGGCCATCCAGAGAGATAATTAAACACCTCAACATCCATACGATTGATTCAGAGAGTGCCGATCTCCAGAGAAAACTCGCAGCTTTCTGCTCTTTAGTTCAGAGACACATCTCGTGTTTTAACCCATAGACCCAATTAGCGAATTAGCATCAATCTTTAAAATAAAAGTATAGTTTGACAAAATAAGAGTAATCACACTCCTAAAATAACAGTCCCCATGCATGTTGTTGTTGTTTGGTTTTTTTGTTAGCAATATAAATATTTATTATTTACATTTAATACCTATAGCGTGTTTTTATAGTTGTACTTATATAAAATATTTTGAAATAATATTGCTAATTTATAAATATTGAAAATATTTTTTATATATTTTATAGAATGTTTTATATAATATATTGCCATTAATAAATATTATTTTATTTTATACCTAGTATAAATTTATATATAAAATATATATATATTAATTTGCTTAAACATTGATAATTTACTCTA